AAAAAGAAGAAGAAGAAGAAGAAGAAGAAGAAAATTGACATTTTAGATCAAAATATTTTGAAGAAAATTAAAACACTGTGGGGTTCTGGGAATGCAGAATAGCTGTATTTCTGGTTTGGCCAAACTGTGAATAAATTCATTTTTTTTTCTATTAAAAAAAAGAAAATTAAAACAGGATAAGGAAAGAATAATGATTGCAATGTGTATTAATATATTTTACCATTTTTGATATTGTCTTTTTGTCCTCCAGTTTCTCTCTATTCTGAGTATATAATTTGCTTTTTGCTTTGTTTCCTGATAGGAAAGAATTGGGATGTGAGTGCTGCCCTCAGTGATTTTGAACAGCTACGTCAAGTTCATGCTGGGAACCTGCCCCCACCCTTCAGTGAAGGGAATAGTGGCTCCAAGACCTCTGAAAAGGGGTGTTCTGATAGAGAGTCCACTCGCCCTCTACGACCCATTCTACAGCGGCAGGATGACATCATTCAAGGTACTGGGCTAACTGAGGGATGTTTCTATATAGGGAGTAGGAGGGGTGGGGATTGCTAAACAGATTCAGAAAGTTTGGTGATCCTTTGGAGATGTTTTCTTTCCTTACTCTTATCTCCAGCCAAACCCATATTGAGATAGTGTCAATCTGTCCAGGGGCCAGAGCCCCTTACTGTCTCTCTGCATCTTGAGTGTTATCCTGAATAAAGGCTTTCTTCAGATAGTGTAAAAGAAATAGAGGAAGGAGGATAACAATCTAATTATTGAGATAAAGCGTATATAAGGGATGAATTAAGAGTCGGTCACTGCCATCTGTCTCTTTGGAGAGTAATTTGTTAATATTTGCCAGTATCTATCAAAATTTGAAAAATTATATACTCTTTAATTCAACTATTTCATTTCTAGAAATTCATCACATATATGTGTATTTGTATGTATTTTACTTACTTATTTATTTATTTTTGTGCCAGGGATTGAACCAAGGGGCTCTTAACATTGAGCCATATCCCTAGCCCTTTTTTATATTTTAAGACAGGGTCTCGCTAAGTTACTGAGGCTGGCTTTGAATTGTGATCCTTTTGCCTCAGCCTTCCAAGCCACTGGGATTATAGGCATATCTCCTTTAAATAAACAAATACATAAATACATACAGATGCAATGTGACTATTTCATAATAATTAAAACTTGATGATAATTTTTAATGCCCATTAATAAAAAAGTGGTTAAATAAATTATAATCATCCATATTGTGGAATACTCTCAGTCATTAGAAAGAATTAGGTAGAACTGAGTGATATTTTAGAAAAAAAAATCTCTAAAAATATATTCTGAAAGGTAAGATTTATTATAATGTATGTAGCATGCTCCTTGTACTTTAAAAATACAATTTAAAAAGCTATATGTGCTTCTGTGTCCCTAAAAATTTCCAGAAGGATATAAAAGTTTGTCTCTGTGGAAGGGTTCAAGAATTTTGATTGCAAGGGAAACTTCTTTATCCCTTTTGATACTATTTTTATTTTATTTTATTTTTTACCATGGTCAGGCAGACATGTGGTACTTTTTATTTATTTGTACTTATTTATTTATTTATTTTTGGTACTGAGGATTGACCCCAGAGGTACTTAACCACTGAGTCACATCCCCAGTCCTTTTTTAAATTTTGAGACATGGTCTCACTAAGTTGCATGGGACTTTGTTAAGTTGCTGAGGCTGAACTTGAACTAGCAGTTCTCCTGCCTCAGCCTCCCGAGTTGCTAGGCTTATAGGTGTGCACCACCACTTTAAAAAGTGCACATGGTACTTTTTAAGTTTCTAAAAAATATTTTAAAATAATATCACTATTACTTCATAGTTGGTGAGGTGGCACATGCATATAATCCCGGCAATTTGGAAGGCTGATGCATGAAGCTTGCAAGTTTGAAGCCAGTGTAGGCAGCTTAGTGAGAACCTGTCTCAAAAAATAAAAAGGGATTGAGGATATAACTCAGTGGTAAAGTGCCTCTGGGTTCAATCCCTAATAATGGGGTTGGAGGGAAATTTATTTTGTGCATCTCATCTCTGGGAAATACTGAATCGAGAATGGCTACCCTACACTTGAACTCTATCCCTCTGTGATAATTATTATATAACTTAAGCCATGCAAATGATTATAATACTACACTAAGTAGATTGCACTCACAGTGAAATATTGGTGGGGGAATTACAAGTACTACATATTCAAAACAGATGAAATGATTTAGGGCACTATCTATATTACTCTTTACCTCTGTAGCATGTTAAGAATTGACTGTCCCTATAAATTTCTGATAAATAAGAATATCAAGAAAAGATGAAGTAAATAGTATAAATAGGTGTTTTTGATGGTAAGATGAAAGTTCCTGTGTGAATAAGATTCTGTTAATTTTCTTTTCTATAATGGAAATTCTTTCCACATTCTCCAAGACCCTGAGAAGTATCAGAGAGACTGTTAGACTAAATCTAGTCTAATGAGATCCCATTTCCCTCTTCCTTCTACCAAACCACGATCAAGTTACTAAAGGATCAAGTTGCAAACCCTCTCATATTGAAAATAGAAGTGGAAGAATACAGTCATAGGAAGAGGATGGTGAGGCAAATTTCAAACAAGGGTAGAAAGAGGAATGTATATTTGGTGCTAATTGGTGCCTGCAAAAATGTCGCTTTCTGTATTTCTTCAGTTTTACTTGGCTTGAGAAAAAGGGCCATGATGTTTAGAAGCTGGTTAGACTCAGTTTTTCCCTGACTGGAAACCCTGTCAAGAGGTAACCATCACATCAGTGGAGAGTTCTCTGAGTGGGTTGTGTATGTTCTAAGGTGACTCCATTTCTCATTGCAGAAAAACGCCTGTCTAGGGGCATCTCCCACGCCAGCTCCAGCATTGTTTCCCTGGCCCGGTCCCATGTCTCCTCCAATGGTGGGGGTGGGGGGAGCAGTGAGCACCCCCTGGAAATGCCCATCTGTGCCTTCCAGCTTCCAGATCTCACTGTGTACAATGAAGACTTCCGCAGCTTCATAGAGAGAGACCTCATTGAGCAGTCCATGCTGGTTGCCTTGGAACAGGCAGGTCAGTGAGTGCTTCATCTCCAGTGTTCTTCCCTCTATTCTGTACCTATAGATAACCACCTGGAAGGGCTGGCCTTGATCAATAGCTTCCAGTGTGTGATCTGATTGCAGTCAAAGGCAGAGGTCAGGTGCTCACTTCCATACCACATATACTAAAATTGGATCAATATATAGAGATTAGCACAGTCCTTGCACAAGGATGATACATAAATTTGTAAAACATTCCATAAAAAAGCAGTAGTCAGATAAACATGTACTGAGCTAGTGCTTTCTAAAGTTACAGGAAAGGATACAGATTAGACATTTTATTTTGGAAGTTTCGTATTTGATAGAAAGGAAACCGTATATTTATGTAAAAGGCCTAGGAATCAGTACCTAAAAATCAATGTATGAAAGAGCACAAACTAATTAAAATTGGCTGTGGAGCACCCTTGAGAACAGAGTACTATTGATATAGATGATACAGTAGAAGTCAGACCTATCTATATGAACCTTTCCCCTTAAATCTATTTACTTTAACATTTGTGTTTGTCTTAAACTATTAAAATTAGTTAATATAGAGCAAGGAAGCTGGGAATCCTGGGAAAAGTTCACTTGTTAAAAAACTCTCATCGGGTTTGATGACGCACGCCTGTAGCTCAGGAGGCTGAGGCAGGAGGATCTTGAGTTCAAAGCCAGCCTCAGCAAAAGTGAGGTGCTAAGCAACTCAGTGAGACCCTGTCCCCTAAATAAAATACAATATAGGGCTGGGGATGTGGCTCAGTTGTTGAGTGCCCCTGAGTTTAATACCTGGTACCCCCCAAAAAAACCCAAACAAAAAAAACTCCCATGGGAGAAAGACTTGAGGGGAGGTAGGGCATACTAAGGGAGTGTTTATTTTTCCTTTTGTACCTGTCTATATTAATTACATGCATTTATACTTTTTTAAAAAGTTAGCAAGTCATCTGGGCTAGTGAAATTTAGGCCAGTTTTTCTTTCTGTAGTTCAAGAAAACTTTTAAATAAAGTTTTTAAGTAAATATATTTATTTTTAACCAAAGTATTTCCTCCTGTAAATAATGGGAAGTATTAGATGACTATACAGAATCAAGGCTCATTTTCTTGGGTGTTTCATATACTTTGTCTTATTGCTTTTGTCTTTAAAGTCATACCACATACGTGCTAACATGCTGATTATCATATATGCAGATAATACAGAGTTGTATTTGTTATATTGATAATGGATTTATACTGAGTTTTGTTGCCACAGTATTTACAGATCTCCTGACCAGAGTGAAGAAATCAGGGCCAGTCCAAGTAGCCAGCAGTTTCAATCTTAGCACAATTGACATCTTGGGCCTGATAATTCTTTGTTGTGCAAGCTGCCTTGTGCATTATATTTAGAAGCATCCCTTGTCTCTTCCTCACTAGATGCTAGTAGCAAATCCCCTGCCAGTTTTGGTAAGCAAACATATCTCCATACATTGCCTAAAGTTTTCTTAGAACAAAATTGTCCCTACTTAAGATCCAGTGATCTAACCAGTTATGCTCACCAGATTCTGACTGACTAAATATGTCTTAAGAAGATTTAGAGTAATAGAACAATGGTTTTATTCTGGGTAGTACTCCTGGAGGAGGCTAATCTGCTGTCCTTTTCTTCCACTGTCATGTTTCTCCAGGGCGTTTGAATTGGTGGGTTAGTGTGGACCCCACCTGTCAGAGGCTGCTTCCTTTGGCAACTACTGGAGATGGGAACTGCCTTCTGCATGCAGCCTCTCTTGGTGAGTCTTGAAAACAGCTTTCTATACCCTGGTAGAAAGGAAGAAATTGAATCAAATCTTATGCGTAGGTCTTGACGCAACCAAATTAATCCTTGGCAGAAGTTAGTTCACAGCAGTTTTTTTATTTTTTTTGGGGGGGGGGTGTGTGTGGGTGTGCGTGCGCGCACAGGAGATGGGAGAGAGCCCTGTCCTGGTTTTTCAGTCTTGTTGAGGTGAACACAGGGTTTAGCTTAAGCCCCAGTCTGTGAGCTGACTTCTAGGTATAATGAGCAACACTAAGCACAACTCTGTGTGTGCGTGTGTGTAAAATTCTACTTGATAGTTATTCCTTTGGTGTATAAAAAAGATATTTTCAGTAGTCCTTTTGTGTGTGTGTGTGGTGCTGCGGATTGAACCCAGGGCCTGTGCGTTCAAGGCAAGCACTCTACCAACTGATCTAGATCCCCAGCCCTTTAGCAGTCCTTTTTGACACTTACTTACATTAACTTACTAAACCTATCCATAACTCAATACATTATTTGCGCTTAGTTTTAAAAAAGTTCTCCATTTTCTAGCCATTCCTCAAGCTTGGATACTGATTGCTGTGTGCCAGATCAGTCTTGTCTGCCACTATTCTGTATTTAAGTTTGTTAGAATTGCCTCAGGAATGAGGGCTTCCTGTCAGGAGTTTGTGGGAAGTGTTATATCCCTCACTCTCAGGTTCTCAAAGTCTCTAAACCTCCAGAGTAGGAGCATCCTTTCTTGATTAGTACTTCTTCCCTAAATTACATCTAGAGTTTCTTTGAAGATGGTCTTTAGCCTGATTTTCTTCATGCCAATGTCTGTGTATCATAATTAATAATTTCATGTACAAGGGGTTCAGAGTGAAGCTTAGCGGTAGAGCACTTGCCTAGCTTGTTCAAGGCCCTGTATTTAATCTCGAGAACTGTAAAAAACAAAAACAAAACCACAAACCACAATTAGTAAGTGGAGTTGAGTCAGGTAAGGCTCCTTTATGTCATGCTTTCTTGCCATAGGGATGTGGGGTTTCCATGATCGGGACTTGATGCTGAGGAAAGCTCTGTATGCACTGATGGAGAAGGGAGTCGAGAAGGAAGCACTGAAAAGGCGCTGGAGGTGGCAGCAAACCCAGCAGAACAAGGAGGTAGGAGGCCTGGGTGGGCACCTTGTGTCCTCACATTACCAACTTATCGAAGTTACCCAGAGACAAATAAAATCCAATCAGATCAGTATTATTTCACTTGTAATCCTGAAAGTTATGGAAAATGCAAGTGACCTATACCATAGGGTAAATGCTCTCTGATACAATCATAAGAACTGGTGTAGGGAAGCTGAGACTTAAAAAGAGGTGTATAACATTGTGCTTTTCATATGAAAGATAATACCTTCTGTGGCAGTGTTTTGCAAAATGAGGTATGAAAATTCTAAAGATTTTTTATTTTGGTTTTTGGCTTAAAATAAGGCTAGATTAATTTTTAAGGACTTATGTTTTCAATTCTTATAGAATGTTAGTGCTTAAGTTTTTGGATGCATATACTCAGTTTTAGATGGATTAAAAATTGAAAAAAAAGTAGCAATAGATTATCTGTACTTTCCATCCTCATAACAGAGGTTGGGCAAAATGAAACAGCCCTGTCTATTTCATGTGTGTTTATAAAGGTAATTGCTTTCCTATTCCAATAATAGAATAGCAGAGCCTAAAATATATATTATCTCTTTGCAGAAAAAGTTGACTGATCCCTTCTCTTTAATAATGATATTATAATTTACATAAAATAATAGACCTCCATAGTCCTTTTTTTCTTAGTTCTGTCTTTTATGTTTATATCCCCTGCTCTTCATGTATATCTGGGTTTTTTGTTTGTTTTGGGGGGGCATGTTTTGGGTGTTTCTGGCATTGAATATGAGAATATCTCTTCAGAAGCTTTCTCTGTCCTTCTATCTAGTTTCTTTTTTTTTCCTCCTTTGACTGTATTATTATAACTGGTAATGATATAGAACTAAGAGTTTATTTTATTTAGAATTTTTTATGTCCTATCTGAGCATGGTGGTGCATACGTATAATTCCAGTGGCTTGGGAGGCTGAGGCAGGAGGATCACAAGTTCAAAGCCAGCCTCAGCAACTTAGAGAAGCCCTGTCTGTAAATGAAAAATGGCCAGGGATGTGATTCAGTGATTAAGTACCCCTGGATTCAGTCCCTGGTATAAAGAAAAAAAAATTTATGTCCTAAGTTTTAAAATATATAAGAAAGATGTATTGTTTCTTTCTCAAATTATATCCAGAGAGCTAGGAATATAGCTCAGTTGGTAGAGTGCTTGTGTAGCATGCATAAGGCCCTGTAATCCCCAGCATCACCAAGAAACAAAACAAAGATTTTAGTTTTTAAAATTAGGATGATATTAAGATTAGAATCCTGTTCGTAATCAGCCAATAAATATTAGAAATAAATCCATGAGCAAAGCAATATAAGTGACATTCTTTTTTGGAGGGGTGGGTTACTGGGAATTGAACTCAGGGGCACTCAACCACTGATCCATATCCCCAGCCCTAGTTTATATTTTAGAGATGGTCTCACTGAGTTGCTTAACACCTCACTTTTGCTGAGGCTGGCTTTGAACAGACAATCCTCCTGTCTCAGCCTCTTGAGCCTCTGGGATTACAGGTGTGCACCCCCGCGCCTGGCAAGTGACAATCTTTATTGCCACAAAACTTGGGGTTGGCACTGTGGAAAGTGTCTGTTGTCTGAGCTAGAGTCAGCCTAGCAAATCAGTAGTTAGCTTTGCTTTTTCACCATTGAGTGTACATAATACCTGAACCTTAGATTTGACTGCTCCAGGGACAAGAAGAGGACAAACAAGAGCATACCAGTTATGAAGTGAAAATTATGGAAATAGTCAAAATGGGTGTGCCCAATTCCAGCTTTTAAATCTCTTATCATTATTATTTTATTTTAAGATAGGGTTAGATTATGATGCTATTTAGACAGGAGACTCTCAAGTACCTGAGTTCTATCCTAAGTTTACCTCCTTTCCTTCCAAAAGAAAACATGCATAGTAGCTAATGAAGGAGCAATCGTTTTACTTCTTTTGCTCAGCACAATGCAAGTTCCATACTAGAAATGTGGCCTATGTAATTGTCTTAACTTAGAAGTGTGTGGCATTGTACCCAGCCTTGGCAGGGGGAATGGGAAGAGGATTGAGGAGCTTCTTTTGGCTTACTCTAGTACCAAACACCAAACTTAATTAGTTTTGATTTCTCAAGCCTTCTTGGGTTTTGTTCGAATTGATGGTAAAGCCTAATATTTTCTTAATGATAAGGTTAGAAATCTATGCCACCTAGTGGTTATGTGTATTAAAAATAGGAATCAGAAATAGGCAAGAGGAAGTCAGATCCTCCTGGAGAGAGAGAGAGAGAGAGAGAGAGAGATAGATAGATATTATGAGAGTGACTAGAATCTTCCACATATAATTTGTGCATTGTTCTTTTTGTCTTTAATTGAAATGAAATTTGTAATATCATTTATAAATTGAAAATAGCTTTGTCTTTTTTACTAAAAATGCTTAAAATAGCTCTTAAATTCTTCATGTTTCTAGTGTGATCCTTCTACTGTTGGTATTTAATTAAGCAGTATAAATTCATTTTAATACTGATATAAGCCAAATAAAGTCTAAAAAGTAAACTTGTCTCTCAAATTATCATATATTTTTAAATTGTACTACTACACACACTCCTTTAATAAAAATTACAGTTTTACTTAACTTGTATTTACTGATTACTAATCACAAATTAGGCACTGGACACATTGCATAAAACACGGTCCTGGCTTTTAAGAGCAGTAGTAGAAAATGGATTTCAAACACATAATTGCAACAAAATGAAACAGGTATGAAGGAAAAGCACAAAAAAGGAGTGTTTAAATTACTAGGGATATTTAGGAATGACTTCACAGAGGAGAGGTACTTGAGTTTTATCCTGAAAGTTTAGAAATTACCAGATAAAACGAGTGGGCTACAACAGGCAGAAAAGGAACAACTAAGACAAAAGCTCAGAGGTACAAAACAATGTGATGCACTTCAGGTACTACTTTTAAATCAGGGAGCTATTCAACTAGATAAGTGGGTAGGGGCCAGGAAGTGGGTGTTGCGTGCAGTGGGAAGGAGTTTCAACTATGTCTGTCAGACAATGAGGATTACTAAAAAAATTCTCATCAGGACACAAACATCATCAGATTTTAACTTTAGAAAAAGTTTTCCAGTAGCATTGTAGAAAGCTGGTTAGAAGAGTACATGAGTACATGACTAGAGGTAACAAACAAGTTAGGGGTGCACTGAAGTAGTTAATGCTTCATAATTATTGACTAAAGGGATCCAGATATGAGGTGGGTAAAGGAAGGAAAGGAATCTTAGATAATTCCCTGGTTTCTCGTTTGGGTATTAGGATGATAATTGATGGTGTTCACTAAGGTAAGAATATAGAAAGAAGAAGGAGTTTGGGCAGAGACAGAAGTTGTTATGTCAAGAATTTGAGGTAGCCCTGGACAGGTAGAAGTATCTAATTGGTAGTTGGATATGTGAATAATAGAAATTAAGAAGTAATATGGGCTTAGAGATAAGGATTTCATAGTCATCTTGGGGATTTTAGAGAGTCCACTGAATTTGGCAATTTAAAAAAAAAAAATACGTTTATTTTATTTATTTATTTATTTTTGGTGCTGAAGATCGAACCCAGGGCTAGGCGAGTGCTCTACTGCTGAGCCACAACCCCAGCCCCTGAATTTGGCAATTTGAAAGACTTATCCGTTACTGGAGTTAGGTGAAGTGGTATGTCGAGGATTGGGAGAGTAGGATGAAAGGCAGAAACAAAAACCAGATTGTAATGGGTCAGAAAAGAATAGAAGATTTTTAAAATGTGAGAAAGATAATAGACTGTTCTTTCTATGGATTTTGACTTTAAAAGGAAAGAAATTTGATTTTGTGGTATAATTGTAAATCAAGTACTAAGAGACTAATTAATTAAAATGGGTGTTTCCTCTTAGAATCTTGCTTCTCATTGCTTGGCATCCCCTGCTTATCTTTCATAGTCAGGGCTGGTATATACAGAGGATGAATGGCAGAAGGAATGGAATGAACTGATCAAACTTGCCTCAAGTGAACCCCGAATGCATCTAGGTACCAATGGAGCCAATGGTGGTGGGTAAGTATGGCAAAATGGGGAGGAGGAAAGAATTTTTCTGTGTCTAGAGAGCACTGTGCTAAGAGGTTGTTTAAAGGAAAGAGAGGACCCATGACAAGGGCACACTTGTAAAAGCATGGTGTGTTCTCTGTATTTGAACACACTTATACCACAGTGGATGATGGGGTGGAGGGGGCAGTGAGACTAAAGGCAATAGTAGTAATAATCCAGGCAAGAGGGCTGTGGGTGTGCGAGTGATAGACTAAAGATAGGTTAGAAGAGACAGGTACAAGAGACACACAGGAGATGGAATTGATCTAACCACATGATTAATTGAAGCTGAGATAAAAAATGGGAATATTTCACAAATTTCTGATTAAGCTACTGAGTAGAATGTGAGGCTGTTTTTTAAGGGAACACAGAAAGAGGAATTTTGGAATTTTCTTTTGTAAGACATGATTAGTATAAATTGTGGGTGTTTGTGGTAGGTAAGATAAGTAGGATGAAGTTATGCTGTTGTGTATTGGGCCACTGGATAAGAGAAATGAGGGACTTGTTGAGCAAGATGAATATTAAGAGACAGGGATTACCTTTAACTTCCAAATGCCACCTTAGCCACAGAGCCTTCAAATATTCTTTCTTGGATTTCCCTATTTGTGAAATGGAAGTAGAAACAGCTAGTAAAAAATAATCAGCTAGATCAGTGGTAGCCTTAAGATTGGAAAACAAGGAAAGGACATGCTTTTCCCTATCTTCAAAATTGGTCTTCAGGGCTCTCATTTTGTTTTTCCTGCTTCCTTCCACTGTGCCCCTTCCACCTATTCTCTTCTCCAACTCCAGGGTGGAAAGTTCAGAGGAGCCTGTCTATGAGAGCCTAGAAGAGTTCCATGTCTTTGTCCTTGCTCATGTGCTTAGGAGGCCCATCGTCGTCGTGGCAGACACCATGCTGAGGGACTCTGGAGGAGAAGGTGAGTCAGCCAGCCAGGCCTCATTCCACCCTGAGCACCCACTATTGGCAGAGCCTTGGAATAAACACCAGGAAGAGAGCAGAAAAGTGGATGTATAAGCCGGGCAGTGCACACCCAGTGGCTTGGGAGGCTGAGGCAGGAGGATCACAAGTTCAAAGCCAGCCGTAGCAACTTAGCAAGGCCCTGTCTCAAAATAGAAAGGGCTAAGGATGTGACTCAGTTGCTAAGCACCCCTGGGTTCAATCCTGGTACTGAAAGAAAAAAAAAAAAAGAAGAAGAAAGAAAAGAAAAATATATAGACTTTTAGTGGGGGAAGAAAAGATAAATATTAGAACAAATGCAAAATTCTGAAGAGATTCAGAGTAAAGCAGTTGGGGTTAATTACTGAGACTTCTTTGGAAACAATTATTAAAGAAGTTGGAATGAAAGTGGGGACTCAGTTGGCAGAGGCAGGTGGAGGGATTTTCCACTAGGCAAGAGCACAGCCTTAGTAATAATCTCTATGGTTTCCTACAGCATTTGCCCCTATTCCCTTTGGGGGAATCTATCTGCCCTTGGAGGTCCCAGCCAGCCAGTGTCACCGATCTCCTTTGGTGCTCGCCTATGATCAGGCCCACTTTTCTGCACTTGTGTCTATGGAGCAGAAGGAGAATGCCAAGGAACAAGGTGCTAAATGCATGTCTATGTCTCTAGTGTCCTTTGGTCTGCATTATTTTCACTTAGAAGAGTGGAAATGAGGGCTAACATAGGAGGAAAGAAATAAGGGCAACATGTAAGCCCACACAATGCATGTTGGTACTCTTTTCCTAAGTTATACAAGTACACCAGAGTTTTTGAATTAAAAAATCAAAAGGTTTGAGGGGGGAACATAAATTATATTCCCTGCTCTGGAGAAAAGGGCTCATGGATTACGGTCATAGCACCTTCTAAAAGATGCTTTACTGCATTTGTCTTTATCTTAATGACTCTGAATTCCCTGAATAAACAACTCAAGAATATCATGAGAGTTAGTTGACTGACTGGTGGGGAGTCATGGAGATTAGTGGCCTAAATTGTGTGTTGGGAGGTAGGGGAAAACTAGCCTATTGTTTTTTAATGCCTGGGATCATTCACATGTAAGAATTGAGAAGTGACTATGACTAGAGACTTGTATATGATTTTAGTGAAGTCAGTTTGTGTTCAGTTGCCTTCCTCTCTCCTCAAGGAGACTCCTTGACAGCATCTTTTTTCCTCCCCAGCTGTGATCCCACTTACAGATTCAGAGCATAAGCTGTTGCCCTTGCACTTTGCTGTGGACCCAGGAAAGGGCTGGGAGTGGGGCAAAGATGACAATGACAATGTTCGATTGGCCAGGTGAGGCAGGCCTAGCCTTTCCATCGTATTTTGTAGCTGGACTCTCTTCCATAAGCAGGGTCTATGTCCTGGGGATTTTTCTTAGCTCAGAGGCCAGACAGTTGCATCTTAACTGAAGTTTCTTTGGGAAGAGGAAGAGAGGGAAGAGGGGTTAGGCACCAAGACTTTTGCATATTGTGGGTGCTTTGTCTTCCTGTGAAAGATGGGAATCCTGGGGCCTCAGCCATTCTTTTCTTAATAGTAGGAAGAATGTTCCTCCATTCATACATCCCAGAATCACCAAAGCAGTGGTCAGAAAATCAAATTACACTTTATCTCAGCTTAATTGAGAAGAATTTTAAATAACTGACTAAATTAGTTTGCTGTGGGTTTTGTCTTTCTGGAGTTTAGTCAGCAATAAAAATACATTCCCTCTCACTCTCCGTGGCCTGTTTAACTTCTTTCTGCCTCCCAGCATATGAATGTAAAAGTTCTTCCCTTACATTTTACCTGGTGCTTCCTTCTTTGGGCCTCTGAAACTTTGGGAACTGGCTGAAGGAGTTTGATTTTAAAGTCCAGCATTTATGGCTTTTTAAAAATAAGTCCTCACCTAATATTATTATAATAACAGCTATTGTTTAGTATTTCCTATTTTCCAGACATGGCTGTGCCCTTTCTAAACACTATTTTAACACAATGCCACAGGATAGATTTGATTATCGACACCCATTATTAACTCAAGCTGAGTTTCAGGGAGGTTGAAGTGACTTGTTCAAGGTCAAAAGTTTAGTAATTGGTGGAGCTTTGATTAAAACCCATTTCTGTTTGAGTCCTAAGCCATGTGTACAGGCCCCTCCATCCACCTTTCTTCTAAACTATATCATACCCCTTTTCTTTACTAGATTACATTAAGTTTTTAAATCCTTTTTTTTTTCTCCTTTTCACAGTGTAATTCTGTCCCTAGAGGTCAAATTGCATTTGCTGCATAGCTACATGAATGTGAAGTGGATCCCATTGTCTTCTGATGCACAGGTGAAAGCTTCTTCCATCCCTACCCACATTTGCCTTACTTTCAGTGACAGAATAAGGAGATGTGGTTAGTGCTTACCTTCTAAATCTGTTCTGAGTGATAGCTTACGCATCAAGGTTAGGAGTAATGGGAAGATGTCAGATAATTTCCAAAGGATACCTTTTCCTACCTTGCTACCTGTTAGTTTCCTCTGTGGACTATATTTCTCCAATCAGGCTCTGCTTTCTTATACTAAAATTCAGTCTTTAAGAAACATTTTCTAGGGCTGGGGTTGTAGCTCAGCTGTAGAGTACTCACCTAGCAGGTGTGAGGCCCTGGGTTCGATCCTCAGCACCACATAAAAATAAATAAAATAAAGGTATTGTGTCCAACTACAACTAAAAAATAAATTTTTTTAAAAAGGAAGCATTTTCTAGGAACTGGGGTGTAACTCAATGGTAGAGCCACTTGCCTAGCACATATAAGCCCCTGGGTTCAATCTGTAGTACAACAAAACAAACAAAAACATTTTCTGGTTGAGGTTGTCATTACTTTGTCCCAATCATGCTGTAGTTAGACCTGTTTTAGGCACCAGGAAGAGACAGAATTTTTTCAGGAGTTTTGGGACCCTAGGGGTTCTAAGTTAGAACAGCAGGAGCAAGGGAAAATTGATGAACATCAGAGTGCTAAAGTTTAAAAGGGTGGTTGGGCTTTGTTGGTTGTGACTAGCCAAGACTTCCTTTAGATTAATTTTGAACAGTACTTGATACAGAGATGTTTATAATAAAGGACATTCTGGTATCTGAAATATTCTCCCTCCTTACCCAGAAGCTGAGTATTGTATGGTTGCACGGTTGTTCACCATGCAACACATGGTGAGCAGTGAGGTTTCTTTTGGTATCTAGAATAGAAAGGAGTCAGATGGCAGTGGCTGAGATCAGAGTTGGATATTACATACATCTTTAACCCATGAGAAAGCTGACTAGAGCCAGAGAAGGACAGATTCTGAATCCTGGGTGACCTTTCCCCGTCATGACAACAGCCATTCTCTGGAGCTAGGCAATCTAAGGATGGAGTTCACAGGGTACTTAGTACACTTTCCATATGGCTAATTCCTATAACAGCGGCTGCAGGGAGCCCTGAGAGCTGATGGATGGGCCCAAGGTCCAGCCCAAACCATTGGGATAACTGTCAGCACTATTTTTGTCTCTTCTAGGCTCCTCTGGCCCAACCTGAGTCTCCCACAGCCTCAGCTGGAGATGAGCCCCGATCCACTCCTGAATCTGGGGAATCAGACAAGGAGTCAGTTGGCAGTAGTTCTACCAGCAATGAAGGCAGCCGGTGGAAGGAGAAGTCAAAGCGAGATCGGGAGAAAGACAAGAAAAGAGCAGATTCTGTGGCTAACAAACTGGGCAGCTTTGGCAAAACCTTGGGCAGCAAGCTCAAGAAGAACATGGGAGGCCTGATGCACAGCAAGGGCTCTAAGCCTGGAGGGGTGGGAACCGGGTCCGGGGTAAGCAGTGGCACTGAGACACTGGAGAAGAAGAAGAAAAACTCACTGAAGAGCTGGAAAGGTGTCAAAGAGGAGGTAGTGGGGGATGGACCTGTATCTGAGAAGCCCACATCTGAGTCTGTTGGTAATGGAGGGAGCAAGTATAGCCAGGAGGTGATGCAAAGCCTGAGCATTATGAGGATTGCCATGCAAGGGGAGGGGAAATTTATTTTTGTTGGAACCCTGAAGATGGGTCACCGTCATCAATATCAGGAGGAGATGATCCAGCGCTACCTATCTGATGCTGAGGAGAGATTCCTGGCAGAGCAGAAACAGAAGGAGGCAGAGAGGAAGATCATGAATGGAGGGGTAGGGAGTGGGCCTCCCCCGGCCAAAAAGCCAGAGCCAGATGGCGGGGAGGAACAGCTGACTGCCCCCCGAGCAGAGTCCAAGGCACTGGCATACTCTACTGGCTATCCTGGGGGCTTTACTATCCCTCGGCCTTCTGGGGGTGGAGTGCACTGCCAGGAGCCCCGAAGGCAGTTGGCAGGGGGTCCTTGTGTGGGGGGCCTGCCACCATATGCGACCTTTCCCAGACAGTGCCCTCCCGGGCGACCCTACTCCCACCAGGACAGCATCCCTTCTCTGGAGCCAGGCAGTCACTCCAAGGATGGAGTTCACAGGGGTGCATTGTTACCACCCCACTTTCGTGTGGCTGATTCCTATAGCAACGGCTATAGAGAACCCCCTGAGCCAGATGGATGGGCTGGAGGCCCCCGGGGGCTTCCCCCAACCCAGACCAAATGCAAACAACCGAACTGCAGCTTTTATGGACACCCTGAGACAAACAACTTCTGCTCTTGCTGTTACAGGGAAGAACTGAGGAGGCGGGAACGTGAGCCGGGTGGGGAGCTGCTGGTGCACAGGTTCTGAGTGGATGGAACCTGTGAGGGCAAGGGGGCCGAATGAAGAAAGTTAAGCGCAACACACTGGCTCATCAAGACCCAGCCCCCCAGGTTGATGGGGCATATGCAGAAATGTTTATGGGAGCCTAGCTGGAAACTTAGGTGTGTGCGCTTGAGTGCTGCCAAGTGGGCAAGATCAGGTCAGGGTTGGATGGTGCCTCAAGGGCTGTACTATTCCTTTGTAGAGCTTGACTTGATGGGACTGAGGAGGTACAAAGGGGTAGGGATGGTAATTCTGTCTCAAAACCCTTTCAGTCCCATCCCAGGATCTAATGGAAAGTAATATGAGAGGGTTTGGTGTGGGGGAGTGGGAAGTGGACAGATGTCTGGGGGAGAAACTGGTAAAGTAGATTCTCAGTTAATTAAAGAAAAAAAGAGACCAAAGTTCTTTTAGGTTGGAATAAAGCACATGGTGGTGGAGTTGGGAGTGTGGAGGGAAATAGGTATTGGACAAAATTTACTATTGATTTGAATAGGGTAGTAATTAGAGTTGGATAAATTCTACCTCCAGAAGGATCTGGAAAGACAAGACAGTAAAGTGTGCTCTTGAATGCTTGTTGGGGAAGGTAGTTTAAATTCCAGTTTATGGAGATGGGAAGGGGAGGAATTTAAAAGGGGATTCTTTTTCCTCTGAAGTTTGATTTCCTTCTGAATAGTCATCTATCTAGTTTGAAAGGAGATTGCCTCCTCTCTTTTCCTCATCCTTTTTGAGGCTGAACTCAGCTAAGTTAAGAAGGTTGTGATTTTTTTTTTAAAGACTTTAATTTTATTTAAAAAAAATTCCTCTGGAAAAGAGAGTGATGAGAAGAGCAGCTGTGTATTGAATTTTCTCCAGGTGAATGGGTGCAGAGTGATCTAACTACTTAGCAATAACCATATGTGAGGGTCAAGTGCATCTTGGGAGGGATGGGATAAGGACAGACATTTGGCCAGACTGTTTCAAACAAAACCAAAAACCTACATAAAGCACTAATATCCTCTGCTGCTGTTTTTCTGTAGAAAGCAACTTATTTTATTGACTAATTTTTTTAAAGAAAAGAAACAAAAGGACCCCGACAAACAAAACACTTTAAAAATTATTATTTTTTTTCCTATTTAAGTGATTCTTTCTCCTTCCTCTCTACTTTTGGAGAATGAACTTAACATCCCGGCTTCTTTTGTTAAGCCAGAGCTGACCTTAATCTGTGGTTAGTTTATTAAAATAAATAAATAAATAAACTTTGTAAGAAGAGATATTTTTGATATTAGGACTGAAGTTGAAACATGGGGTGGGGGTTAGGGCAATTTATTAAAAGGTAGTTAGAGAAATATATTTTAGTGAACTATAACCACAGATCACAGATAACTCCCAATGAGCTGATCTGTCTTTGGATTTCTCCCTTTCATTGACCCAACCCTGTTATCCAGCGGATAGGGATGTAGACACAGTTGGGGGGAGGTCCTTTGCATTTTGCACAAAGCACAAGTCTGGGCAGCTTATGATCTGGCCAGAACCATTTCTAAGAGCTTTAAGCCAGAAGTCCTTCCTGGGCCAGTTTTCCGTTTCTTTATATTTTTTCCTGGGGGAAAAATCAACTATGCAATTGTATACACTCCTGGGTGCATATGGAGAAGGGGAATAAGTGTACTTAAGTGTCCAGAGTTTTAATTGGGGCTGTTTTTTCTGTGCTTGAACTTCTTTGTTTGAGGTATGTGTTCATCAGTGTGTAGTGGAATAGAATCCCCACATTTGATCCGAGGCGCACAAGCTGGGAATGTGTGTGTTGGGGGTACTCTGAATTGCATATGTTCCTTCTGCCCAGTCCGGAAAGTTTTCATCCCATTTTTTCCCTCACCAACAAAGCCAGCCAAGACTCACTCATTAGAACTGCTCAATTTAGAAAGGTTCTTTTCTCCTCAACAAAGGCAAAAGTCACTTATTTTCCAAAATTGACTAGTCTGCTGATTTAATCATTAACTGTGGCTATTAATTCTCAGGCATTTATTTGACAATAGATTGGTTTTAAGGAAGCAAGGAGACTCCAAAGAAAGGGATATGTATATAAGAACCTAGCATGAGATA